AGCTGCTTGTGTTCTTTTTTTTTGTTTGTTTGTTTGTTTTTGTTCACATCTCTTCTGTTGAATCGTTTTCTTGGGTGGTGCTCATCGCGGTCTCCTCCTCCCTGTGTTTTCTGCAGGGTAAGGAGCCCTCTGTCAGGCAGCTGGCCCTGCTTCACTTCAGGAACACCATCGTCCTGAGCGTGAAGTTGGAGGACGCGTTGTCTCGGCCGCGGGCCCGCGTGCCCCCCTCTGTCACGCAGATGTTGCTCATACTGCAGGTGAGCAGAACATTTTCTCCTACTTCCACTCTCATTTGTTCAGCTATTTTTGTTTTGAACATGAGGAAGCAGTACGTCGTTCCTGTGTTTTGTACCTTCAGTGAAGCTTCTTGTTTTGGTGTTGGAGTTAGTATCCTTCTGCAGGAGATATCTCAGACATTAAGACATGCTCTTCACTGTTACGTTAAGAATAAATGAGCGCTGGATTTTATTCAGTGTTATTGCAATAAGGAGGGTGAATATAAAGGCATGCCACACTTTTCAGATTTTTATTTGTAAAACCTGTAAATTCTTTGTTTCTCTACACAACTCTGCACTTCTGTCTGTAGGTTAACCGTTACTTATCAGTGCCTCCAATATCATATTGATGTTGGGTTTTAATCATGTTTGGGTTTATATTTACCCTTATTAATATCTTAGCGTGTTGCAGAGGAATAATGATAGTCTTGGCTTAATTTTGGATTCATGTTTGGACACTCAACAAAACAAACAGTTTCCTATGTCTGACCACAGACCCTTCAGAACAGTCTGTTATTTATAGAGTTGAGGTTGACATTACCATTATCTTTATCTGTTTTATCCATGAAAAAAACAAATTTTATTATCTTTAAAAAGTGTAGGGCTTCTCAACGCTTTTTCATATAGAAAAAAATTATTTTCATTTTAATTTTTAAAATACAAACATTTCTACATAGCTTTATGTTTCGGTCCATTTGATGATGTAATTTTCAAATATTAAATGATTGATGTTTTTACGTTTTACCAAATACTTTTTTACTCTCTAGTAATCTCTTGGATGGCTATTTTTCACTTTTCCTAGTGTAGAAATGTGTTGAGGTGCTGCTGCTCTTCCTTGAGTACAGGTGTTGGTACTCTGCCCACCAGGTTTTTGTTCCTCTGTGTGTTTCAGGGGGTCCATGAGACGCGCGGCGTTAATGAGGATTATTTAAGACTCGAGTCTCTGGTACAGAAGGTGGTCTCACCTTACCTGGGCACCCACGGCCTTTACTCTGGGGAGGAGGATGACGATCACTGCTGTGTTTTTGGTGAGCCAGAAGCAAAGTAATAATGATGTGCTGTATTTTGAAAGGTCTTTAAAGGAAGCCCTCCCCTGCTTTCGTCTCGTTTTACAGACAAGCGTGTCCCGTGGGGCTGGCCCAAGTCTGCTGACCAGCCATCCAAAAACCCTGTGGTACGATCTAAGAGCTACAACATCCCCCTGCTGCTGACCCCCGTGGCGGAGTACGACCCGGATCCCAGCTCGGTCGGCAGCGGAGGGATCCGCCGCCACTCGGCTTGTGAGATTATATCATGCCTGGAGGAGCAGGGGCTGACCTACTCCGACCTGACTCCAGGATCTGAGCTGTCTGGTCCGTCCTCTAACAGACTCTGCGTGGGCTCTCAGTTTAATGGTAGGACTGATTTCTAACTGGTTTCACCCACCATTTTATCAAATAACACCAGAATTTGTAACGACACAATAATGCTGTTTCATTCCCAGGGATTATACAAGCAGGCGCCGGTGCCATGGACCTGGCCCTGTCCTCTCCTTCCATCCTTCATTCCTCAGGCGCGCTCCACGGCACGGAGGCCACCACCACAGTGACTGACCTCAGCAAGGGGGCGTCCTCCTCACCGCCAAGTGAATCGTCCAGCCCTGAAACCATAATCGGACAAGTTCCGGGGTCTGCCGGCTCAGACTCAGATGGGATATTTATTGAGTTCCCTTCTTACTCTTCGGGTGGAAAGAGCCTTAGCCGTGAGAGCAGGCAGAGCACTGTGTAGCTGTGGCCCCTTCGAGGAGCCACAGCGAGGGTGTGTGGGAATCTTTTGGTAGAAAAGGGTACATCTTCCATTTTACTTTTATACCTTCAAAGACAACCTTCTTCCAGTGTGGATTTTATTTAAATTCTTTTATGAAACTTTTAAGCAGCTACAAAAAAAAAAAAATTTTAAATTAGCATGCATGTCCAAGTTGACATGATGTGGTACTGATGGCTGAAAATGTGTTGATCTTAAGTGATAAAACCTTTTTACTATCAAAAAAAGTTCAAGTCCTAACAAGATGATGCAATCAACAAACACAAAAGACCATCTAAATAACTTAAAATGTTATTGAACTTATTCCAGGAATTCATCTTAAAAAGTTAAACTTATATATTGGATAGATTCAGTACACACAGAGATATTCAAACATTTATTTCTGTTAATCAAATGATTATAGCTTACAAATAATGAAAACTCAAAATGCAGTTTCTCAGAAAATAAGAGTTCAAAATAACTAAAATTATTAGTTATTGACACTTTCCACAATGAGAGAGAGTAAGCCACAAATGTTTATTTCACAGCAGGTGAAAGTTCCCTCACTGCTGCATGCAATTATATTAATGGAAAGTTGAGAGGAAGGAAAAGTGAGGTAGAAACAGTTTCATTTGTTAAATCAGCTGTCTTCCTCATAATTATGTAGATCATAACATTTCCTTAAAACAGCTGCTTAGACGTCTCAAAAGGAGCTTAGACCAAGTATTAACAATAGTTATTCTCCATGTCCTGTAACACTGACTCCCTCTGCAGTCCTTTGAATGTACTTTGCTTCACAATCATCTCAAGGCTGTGGTATCTTTGTATTCCATGCCATTTTTCCTTCCGTGTAACGTTCCATGTTTGCATGCAGCACTCTGTGTCTTGTGCTTCCCCTTCTTGTGGAAAGTGTCAGCGGCACTCAGCGTTCTGTCAAGTCAGAAATCTTCGCCTCGATTGTGTCACTTTTAGTGACACGAACGTCATTTTTTTCATCGGCTGATGTAACGTTCGCATTTTCAGAGAAACCAAATTGTGAGGTTTTGTTAGTTGTAGACTGTAATTAATAAAATGACACTGATGAGTTTTGTTTTGAAGCTGAAAAACTGAGATTTTCTGTGATATTCTTATTCACTGAGATCATCTGAATTCATCTGAGTGTCTAAAGCTCTAGTTGCACTAATAATCTTACTTCTTATAGTCTGTGAGGATACACAGCATTAAAAAATGAATCCCCTGCCAATGACAAGGTAGTGCATGTCGTTTACAACTAAAACTATATTAGAATGTCTTTTAAACTTTAATTTATAAATGTAACTACATATCAGTGAGACACAGAGTATCCTAAATGGATTAGGTTTGAAAGGTAAAGTATTATGAGACAAATTGTTGATTTCTTTATCTTTCTCGGTTGTTTTCTGGGATTTGTTCATTATGGGGGAAATAAATATTTCTATTCATTCATTTCCTCATTTATTTCAGTTATTTGCTTTAGTTGTTCTCTTGCTTCCCTGGAGAATATGTACTTTAAAGAAAAAAAACTACACATTATTTTTTGTTACAGGTTGTTTTGTATTTGTGTACTCTGATGAAGACTCTTTTATATTCCCTGTTTTTGCTCCTTCATGTGCTGCTTTGGGGATCAAGAGGTTTTCTCGCTTTTCAGCAGCGCTCCGAGCGCTTAATGCAAAATTATTTTGTGACTGCATTTGCTTTTTCTGCATGGGCTTCGTGGTTCAAGGGAATACGACAATGTTTGTTTACATTCAACAAAGATGGAAACATTTTCAACTGAATGTTGTCTCACACTGTATTTTGCACCACCACTAACATGTAAATAAAATGTTTTTTTGTTTTTTTTTTTTTTTTTAGAAAGAATAGATCTTGTACAGTGAACATTTGTCCTGAAAGGAATAGATTTTTTTTTTTTTTAAATACAAACTTTTTAAAATAATCTTTTTCAATGATGTTTTACCTCAAAGCATTTTGTACTTTACTTTTTGGACAATCTATGATGTCTCCAGAATTGTACTTTGTATAAATTTGTTATACTGGCCCCATAAAAATAAATAAATTTCAAGAATATCTAAACAAAAAACCCCATAAATGCTATTTTAAATTGATTATTGATGTATGAATGAATAGGGTATCGTACCTTTCAAAGTAAACAACGTATTCTTGATTTAACTTAGTTAATTATCTACCTAGTTGGATCTCAAGGGTCGCAGAGGTTTTAAACATTTTTCTATTAAAAATGTTCATCACACTACAACCCTTCAATTTTAGTTTAATCTGATCATAGGTCATTTCAGTCAACATCCACACCAGGTTTGGTATTCTCCTCTGGAGTTGATGCATACATTTTGTCACAGACAGACATATCTACTTCCTGTACAGTATGTTGGCTGAACATTTCCATATTTGTTTATAATAGTTTGAACAAATAAACACACCATTTTCAGGCATCTGGAAATTTGACCCAAAGAAGAATCATAATCATTCTCATATATTCAATGATTTCATTTGATTTCCTTATAATGTCACGAAAGGATACAGTAGTTTGTAGTTTTCAATAGCTAACAAAGCTATAACATTATCAAACACTAATCTTTGTCTGTGTAAGTTGCAGTTAAGAATTAAAAAATTTTCTTTGTAGTTATTCTGAAATTTGACAAATTTTTTTAAACCTCCCTGTCCTACAACCGGAAGAGTTTAGTCTGATTTACTTTCTCAAACAGTGAGAAAAAAAGTATGTCATTGGTTTCAACTACTTTCTTTCTTTCTTTCTTTCTTTCTTTCTTTCTTTCTTTCTTTCTTTCTTTCTTTCCGTGTTTTCTGTGTAGTCTGATTGAAACTGAAAAGTAAATAAATTAAAATCGTATGTTTTTATTTTGAAAGGAGTACAGGAAACGCATCACGTTGTTAAAAACACAAACCGGAAATGTATCTTTAGCTTAAAGCTAACCCCTGCTACGTGGTTGGTTTGTTGTGAAACGGTTAAATATAAATGTTTTCTTGTTAACGAGTCACTGCATTTATCAGGAAATAGTGTCGGTAAACTCGGTAAGCGCTCTTCCTACCACATTGTTTGAGTGACATTGAATAGCTCAGTCCTGCGTGACTTACAGTAGCTTCCTGTTCACCCGCTACTGGACTTTGGTTATGTCTTATTCATCGTTTGTGTTTCATTCCAGCTGCCGGACAGAGAGCTAGCTGTCTTCCTGCGCTGGGATCACTCCGCCGCCTGCGCTGCGCTCTTCGGCCTCGTTTCCAGCCTCCGCCGGTGGATGAGCCTGGTCAGTCGCCGCCTTCCTAGATGAAGATGTCCCTGGCTCAGCGAGTCTTCCTCTCCTGGATCTTCGCCCTGGTCTTCCTCATCATGCTTGCCCTCAAGCTGGACTCCAAAATCCAGTGGAACTGGTTCCTGATCTTCCTCCCCGTCTGGACCTTTGACACCGTCCTCATCCTCATGCAGATCGTGGAGATGGCGGGTCGCTGCAAGCCGGACTTTGACCCCAGGGACGAGGAGAAAAGCGTGAAGAGGAGGCTGTGGTACCTGACAGCCCTGCTCCTCAAGCTGGCCTTCTGTCTGACTCTGTGCTCCCGGCTTGAGAAGCTGACGGACATCTGGGTCAGCGTGGTGTGTGTCCCACTGTGGGTGCTGCTGGGTGGAGCGCTGCTGGAACTGGGATACAGTGTTTTCCACTACAGGAGGGACTGAGCCAGGCGGGGGAGAAACCCTTACAAACGGACACATTGTTATTTTTAGAGATATTCACCTCTTAACTGAGGGATGCACAGTTATTTAGTTGTTATTTTAAAACCTGGGACTGCAGCACCATAACAAGAGAAAACTTTGGTATGATTTTCTCTCCACTGTAGGAGTTCATTGTCATTGCCTGACTAAATTGCACTTTGCTTTAGATCTGACAACTTCACCTCAATGTCAACATGTCTGGGATTGTTCAGTTAAATCCAGCCCTCTTTTAAGGTTTACTCACTGCCGCTTTTTTGCAATTTTAAAGTAAAATAAAAAAAAGAGACTTAAACTGGTTTTAAGATCCTCCCTGAGCATCATTTTTTATTTATTTTTACTTCTCTGCTTCAGAGGTTTTATGCTATTTTGTTCTCCAAGGTGATAAAAGTCAATAATTATGTGGATGGATTAAATATTATTTACATGTTGGATGCAGCTGGTAAGGACAGATTTACAAATGTAGAAACCTTGAACTGTATGTTGTCACATTATCACCACAAATGTCAATTTCTTTCGTGGGGAGGTTTTGTGATAGAGCAGCAGAGCGAATAATGCAGAATCTTAAAGTGGAAAGAAAAAAAAATAGGATTCCTTTTCTTAGAATAAAATAAGAATAAAAAATATAACTGAAAGTGTGGAGTTTGTTTTTGGGCACTTGAGTGAACATTTTAGCCATTTTCATTTCAACAGCAGCTGCCGGTGTTTTGGGTTTGTCTCTACTGAAATATTCAGTCACAAATATTTATTCCCAATAACTCTGATCAGTTTCCTTGTCTCTGACTCTCCCACCTGAGCCGTGAATCTCTGCAGCCACTCCTGAGACTTCCTCATATCTCGACTGCTTTTTGCACGTTGCTATCTATGTACGACACTCTTTTCAAATTTGTTTGTAAAAGAAAAAAGTGCCTTATGTTTGTTTGTCATTAAAATCCTTGAAGTTTGCAGCTGTAAAGTAAAAAAATATGAAAGTTTTTCAAGTCATTATCGCAAAGTGAAACATTGGTATGAGGATGAAGTATGAATATAAATAATTATATAACTAAATTGACCATTTATTTTAAAATGGAAAACAAAGCTCTATAGTTGTTTTCATGTGTACAAAGCATATCATTTGAACTATTTTATCGCTGTGTGCTGCGAGACAGCATAAATTCACTTTTACTCATTTATGTTAGTGGGTGAAGCTCATAATTGGTTACAACCAATAAGATGTTAAGTTATGAAAAGCTCTAATGATAGATTTCTATTGTTTCATGGTGAAGTTTCAATAGTTAATAGAAACTATAAAGCGCTGAAATTTGTCTTCATGTTTGAGGTCTAAGCCATGAATCTAAAATTTAACAATTTAATAAATTATTGACACAAGTGGGTAGGCACACATCCGCATACTGATTTAAGGTGTTTATTTGCACCATTTATTTTAATCATGACAAATACGAGACAGGATTTAATGATTTGTTTAAAAATAACTGGATGGACTGATGAGTAAATGAATGCACTCAACTGAATAGAAAATCTTTTATGCACATTTATCCAGATGCATAAAATGATTCAGTCTGAATGTGATCCTGCGGCCGGGGCCGAGTGGAGAGCTCCCTCAGGTGGAGGAGTTTAAGTGTTGAATCTGTAAGAACCGATTCAAGTCAAACTTTTCCATGTTTCACTCGCGCAATTTAAGACAATTTAACTTGGGTTTGAAAGTAACTCTTCACGTCGCCGTGCTTCACCCTGAAGCATCTAATCAGGAAATTAAAACTTAGAAAAAACAGGAGACACTTTGTAACTTAGTCAACATTTAGAACCATTTATTGAGAGGTTCTGATCAGAGTATAAATCACACTACCAAGTATTATCTTAGGAAATAAAATGTATTTACAACAAAATCTTCACATACATCAGTTTCAAATAAAAACAGACAGTAAATGATATAAATAAGCTCTATGGAAAATAAAACCTGTCTTACAAAAAATATATGCAATTTCTGTATACATTTCCTCACACCGGTGCTAATAACATCTAGACTGTACAGTTTTGGTACTTACAGTATAATTTACAGCCCTGTGTGTCAAACAGTCCAGTCTGAAAACCACTGATAGAATCTGATTTTGGAGTGTTATAAACAATGAAAATCCTGCCCACCAAAGCAACAGTAAGACGATTTACAGACCAGTGGAGGACCTACCGACATCTCCCAGTTCACGTCGCTCAGCGCCCGGCAAAACTGTTTCAAATGGTTTCCACACTGTGTCAGCCTATAGCCACAGGTTTCAATGTTTTCATCGGGATCTCAGCTAACAGAGACGCAAAGTATTTATCAAATGAACATAATTAATTTGCAATCAGCACAGATTCATTCTGATACCACTAAATAAAAATCCAGTACAACTAATTACCGGCAGAAGAGACCTAATTAGCGGACAGTTTGTAACGTAAATTAATTTTAAATACAGCTTCTTCACAGCAGGATGAAGACCTATGAACACAGCAGAACCAAAAGAGAAAAAGTTTTGAAGAAAGTTAAAACAACAACAAAAAAAAGCCACATTTTAAACACATCCGGACCATGACCTCCTCTATGAAGCATGGTGGTGGCTTCATCATGGTGTGGGACTCAGCAGCTGGTTACAGTTGATTCCAAGATGGCTAAATATGAGGGTAAGACTGTAGACTGGGAGTCTGCAACTCGAAACTCTGGTGCTGCTTTTGTCTCTTTGGACTTTCTTAATGGCTCTAAAGAACTTTGGGTAAAAATGAAAAAGGAACCAGTTAAGGTTTTTGAACACAAATATAATAAGTAGTGTTTTTAACTGTTTTTATTTCATTTTCTTGCAGCATATATGCACTGAATTTCTACAAAGAATGACACTAAAGTACCAGTTTTAGTGTACTTTAGTGTACTTTTCCTCGTCATTAAGCTGCAATCTAAACAAAATTCTGGTTCTTTAAAAATGACAAGAAATTTCTAGAGTAAATTACCTTTTTTGACTGTCTTAAGCACCAAATAGCTCTGTATGTTGTAAGGGTTGCAGACTCCAGGTGTGGCCCTAAATCTGGCTGGACAGCTTGGAAACCGATGTTCACTCTGAATGAGCTTACAGCTGCACCTGCACTGAAATGTGGTTCCAAAAAGACCTGATTTAAGGGGAGATGGATATTTTACAGGTTTATTTATTAATCAGTCGACTTCTGGAGTTCATTTGTTGCACAGGATTTTATTTCAGGGCATCAGAGAAAGGAGAAAACAGATGTCAAAATGGTCAATCATGTAACCTAAGTTACTTTGTGTCCTCTCTCTTGAAATCCCCATAAAATCCAACTCAGTTAGTGACACAAAAACTAAACGTGAAACAGGCGTCAAAACCTTTGCAAGATGATTGTTTTCAGATTGGCTTGAGTACCTAAAATAGGAGCTTTATGAGCGAAGCTAAGCAGTGCACAGGGGTCACCAAAGCGAATCGCGTTAAAGCCTTCGTACGTCTGCCGACCAACAAGTGAAGTGAGCTGCTTAGCTTTCATTCTCTGGCGCTGTTAAAATCCTTGCAGAGCGCATCCTCGTCTCGCTGCGTCGCAGCAACGACGTCTAATTTATGTAATGGTCGCCTTTTAAGGGAAGGGTGAACCGTCAAATATTTTAACAAGGCCTTGGCATAAGGAGGGCAATAAAAGCAGAAGACGTGGAGACATTCATATCGAGAAGTCTTTCTGTGTTTGTGGCGTTTGTGTCCTCAGAGGCTGCTTTAGTGAGTCCTGCAGCCCCGCCGACATTGCAGGTTTTCCCTGCAATGAGTCCTTTACTTTTGGTCCTTTAGAGGGGACAAGTGTCCGAGCGTCCGACCCGGGCTTGGAGCAGGACCCTCGGGGGTCGGTGTGAGGTTTGGGTCTGCTGTCTGATAAGGAGAGGGCGAACGGCTGGTGAGCCTCCATGGGTTTGAAGAGATCGAACGTGAAGAGCGTCCGTGCTGGTTTGTGTTCAGGCTTCTTCCTGATCTCCTCTCTGCCGCCGTCTTTCTCCTTCTTGCCGTCCTTCTTCACCTGCAGCTGCGTGTGTTTGTTTGTCTTTCCGTCCTCCCTGCCTGGTTTCCCCGACGTGCTCGTGTCCTTGCCCTCCTTGTGGCCGCTCTTCTCCTTCTTCCCATGTGTGGACTTGTGTTTGTGTGAGCCTCCGTCCCGGCCGTCCTCTCCGTCCGGCCGGGACGGAGGCGCTCCTCTGTCCTTGTCGTGCTCCTTGTCTCTCTTGAAGTGGGTTTGTGTTTTGGAGTCGGCCTCTTTGGCCCACTTCTCGTCTCTCTGAGCGGACGGCGCGGTCGGGCAGCCTCGATTTCCCTCTTTCATCCGCTCTTCATCCTCCTTTTTCTTTATCTGCGTCAGGATCAGGGTGCCTCCGTCTCTTCCTCCTTCAGTCTTGACCTTCTCCCTCTCTCTGTCTTTTCCTCTGTCTTTTTTCTCCTTGTCCTTACTCCTGTCCCTCTCCTTCTTTTCTTTAGTCCTCTCCCTTTCGTCTCGTTCTCTTTTACCTTTATCCTTCTCTTTTTTGATCTGCGGTGTGCTGTAGGCGCTCGTCGTGTCATCTTTATTCTTGTCTGGCAGCGCTGGCTTTGGCTGCCGCTCTTCCTCCACATCACTTTCCTTCTTGATCTGCTGTGAGGACTTTAGGGACGGTGAGTCCTGTCCAGCGTCCTCCTGACCCGGGAGTCTTTGATTCGTCTCTGCGCCGCCCTTTCTGTCCTCCTGTAGCTCTTCCACTTTAATTTCCATCAGCGTGGGACTGAAGACAACCTCCTCTGATTCATTTTGGACCGAAGGCAGAGACTGTGTCCCTGGCAACTCCTTCATCTCTTCTTGGCCATCTTCCTCTTCCTCCTTGAAATGGTGCGTCAGCGTTTGAGACGGTGACTCCTCTCGTCCCTCCATGTCCTCATCCTCCACCTTCCTCGCCGTCTGCACTCCAAAGTCACACTTGTTGCCCTCTTCCTCCACGTCGTCCTCCTGTCTGATTCTACGCAACGCTTCGCTCAGTGAACACTTCTCCTCCTCTTCCTCCTCCTTCCTCTCCTCCTGTTGATGGTACTGTTTGAGTCGGATGTGCCAGGCCAGGCTGCAGACTGCGGAGACGGTCTTGAACTGGTGGACGACTCCTCTGGGGATGAAGTAGATGTCGTCGTGGTAGAGCTGGATGCGAGCGTATCGGATCCCCTCCCTCCTCAGCTGGTTCAGCTTGGCGTCGTCGATCCACTGGACGCACTGGAGACACGGAGACAGGAGGACACGGCGCTTAGCCAGCTCTATTTATTCTTTACGTTCACCAAATTTATTTTAGAAACAAAACAAAACCCAATAGGATAAAATGTTTCTTTTTTTTTCTCTTTAATTCAGACATTTTCTTCCTACTTTGACGTTAATGCACCTTTTGACTTTCTGGTGGTGTTTATTCACTAGAAGCTTTTATTTTGACACAAAACAAAGCATTAATCCTGCCAATACTAAATTAATTATGTTAAAACATTTCCAGACCCCAAATTTCAGATTTTTGGTTGATTGTATAAGGAAAAAAAGGGAGGATACGAGGAGTGATAGAAAGACTAAAGTACAAAAGAAAGTAAGAGGATAGAAGGGTGTATTAAAGAAAGGAAGGAAAAACAAGAATAAAGTTTGAAAGAATGGAAATAAGAACAAAAGGAAGAATACAAAAAAAGTGTGAGTGGAAATGATAGAAGCGACAGAGAGAAATGGGAATAACCACAAAAAGAACAACAGAAAGGAAGAAATGAATAAAGGAGTGACAAAAGGTAGGACTGAACGAATGTCGAGGAGGAGGAAGTAGAGAAGGAGGGAAGGAAAGTAGGAAAGAAATGAGGAAAGGGTGTATGAGTGAAAGGAAGGAGGAAGAAAAACAAAAATACCTCTTTCTTTTGGATTTGGGACAAAAGTTGAGTAATTCT